GGTGAGAGGGCAACTCATACTCATCATACTGTTTGTGCTGATACTAAGGGATTTGTATACTAGTTGTAGTAGCAATTCTAGTGCATCTGTGTATGTGCTTAATATAGTGATAAATATAATAATAGCAGTGCATCATAGTTAACTTTTTGTGACCATCACTGGTCCGCGTTCCCAAGATCTATTCTGTCGTCACTGTACGTATTGTCCTTGTGGGGTATTTCCTTTCTTTCGTGGGATCTACAACGATATCTATCGCCGCTGTAGGGTCCCCCGTATAGTCGCCATAGTCGCAGCAGGAGTATCTATCCAGTGGTGTCTTGGTTGTGTTGGAGTATGATGATGATGTTGATGTTGTTGGTAGTTTCTTTGTTACCTAGAATGGCAGTCGGTACAGTCTGCTGCCGTACTCGGCTATTATTACTATTATTATTAATAACCAATCTTAGTATTGGTCCTGTTGCTGCTGCTGAGGTGAAGGGATCATTAGAGAAGAAGGCTACTCTTGAAGGACCATCGAATGATTGCTGGGATTTGGTAATAGTAATACCGAGTCATATTACAGAGTTCTCGAGGAGATGTGCAGTTAGAGATGGATGGGCACGTCAATTGAGGGGTCATGAACAGGTAGTAGTAGTAGTAGTAGTAGTAGTAGTAGTAGTAGTAGTAGTAGTAATTGGATATTATTAATATTAGAATAACCGTGGTGGTCTACGAAGTATTAAATTACTATTTACTGTTGGAGCACATTATCCTGATAATTATACTAGGGATACAGCGATGGCCGAAATGAAGCAATTCGGTAATAATAATAAACAACAACAACAACAACCAGCATACCACTCCTCTGCCAAATCATCTCAGATGATATCATCACTCTCCCTGCCGACTTTGTTGACCATTACGATGCTCTCGGCACCAAAGTCCGACTGTCATTCAAGGAAGTAATTGATCGGGTGGGGAAGTAAGCTAAACTGGTCGGGGACATTCTACCGTGGTTTCGTATTGGATGTCTCTAGGTTTCGTCTTGTGCTGAAAGCTGATACGGACAGCTATGTTCATGTGGAGAAGTGAGAGAAGTGTGGTATGAAAAATAGTGGTATTGGTCAACACAGGTTATTGAATTTTTTCGATAAGGAAAACATGTGGGAAGGTGGTCCGGTATATGCAGGATCCTTCCGGCATGCACCAGTGATGTGGGAGCCGGAGAATAAGGATCATAAATGGTAATGACAATGATGATTGTAGTTGGTGTAGTAATAATAGATAAGTTCAGGTTTGATGCTAAGTTTACTCAAATGACCGGTCTTACTCAGTATCCATGGAATGCTCAGGGTAATAGTAATATGATGGTAATGATGATGATAGTAATCGTTATAGGAGGTGGTTATGTTATATCATATCAACTTGCCAAGTACCTAGCCCATCCACCATTACAATTAAAGTCATGGACGCATGAAGATGTTGGTGTAGGAGCATGGCTTATGGCATTGGAGTAATACCAACAACATCAACATTATCATCAAAGGCCATCCAGCGTCTTGTCAGTTACCGTCGTATCGACATGCCAGTTGGGTTCTCAGCACCGGAGTGTGGCTGTGCGTTAGAGTGCGTTGATAGCATCAACGATTTGTAAGCCGGTCTTTACATGTGAATATTAATTCTTTATGAATTACAGAATTTTTACTTGGAATTTTGCGAAAATGTGATGGAAATTTTTCGTAAATTTTCTGTGATTTTTCCAATCTTCAGAGGAGGTCGGGATTTGGTAATAGACCATTACGTACCGCCCTTCCTGCATAGAATACGTCAACGGCGAATGGAAATATTGGGAGATGATTGTTGGACACCATCTGATGCGGTACGGGCCTCATCCGTATCTTACATAGAGGAACCTAAGATATTCTTTTTCAGAGTAGTGGTAGTGGCAAGGTTATTCCGGTGAATAGTAAATGCTATACACCAATGTGGCTAGGCGGGGAAGACCTCCAAAACGAGTAGGTTCATACCACACTTCCATCAAATCGTCTTTGGTATAGGTATGGTTTGACTCCCCTCCAATTGTCTCCCGATTTCGACATGCGACCAGCATTCAAGGATCATCATTTTCGTCGTCGTCGTCTGGAAGATCACTCTGAAACACGCTCAGGAGTGTGCGGCATCCACTTCGATTGGCAACCATCTCCAACTGATGAAAGGTAGCGTGAACTGCTAGTGTTGGACATGGGGAAAATCTATTTTTCAAAATTTTATATAAATGTCTTTTCGATAGTTGTTTTGGTACTAGGCCTTCGTGACGAAGGGGCGGAGCTCGACTAGTCCGCATCTTTTGATTGAAATGTTGGGATATAATGATGATCGTTGTGGAGATGTGATGATCAAAATTGAATTTCAGTTGCGCTCGTTATGGTCATTTGATAGTCATACATCTCGAATCGCGCACTAAGCTCTACCCTGAAGTTAGTTCTAGGTTCTATCCCCGGGTTGGACATTTTTCCATCAAAAATTGCATTCGCACATATTTTTTGAAGCTGTGATATACCGCAACAACAGACACTTTCGCGTTGTGCGTGCGTGCAGAATAATTCTGGGTTAACCACGAAGCGTGGAAGGCTATCAGATAGATCAAACGACTCCTCTATATGCGGAGGTTTTGGGAAAAATCGGAAAACTCGATTATGCGAACAGAACTCGAAGAGATAATATGCACGAAAAGTTTTAATGATGGAGAAATGCCCTACCCGGGGATCGAACCGGGCTGGGTCTATGTCAAATTCATTGATCGATTCAATAGACGTGGACTAAGTGAGCTCCGCCCCTTCGTCAAGGAGGCCTAGTGATTATTATTTATATTAGACACTTTTATGCGATGAAACTCCACCCTAGTGATATGAAAAACAGTAGTGAAAAATATTTTATTCACGTTTCACTTCGAAAACGCGTGAGCAGTGAAAAACGCGTAAAACACGTGAAACGCTGCAAGTGTTTTACGTGAACTGGGATGATCTGTCCGATGTTATTCGCGAAGTGTTATCGAATATATCGCGTTTTACGCCACTTGGGTTGTTGTGAAACTCCAATAGAAAGTATATATGAATCCTTTTTCTCAGGTGTATGGTCTGTCGAGGAAGTGACGGGTATGACTATGACGAATTCGAATGCGGTGATCCGACGTCAGTTGTGAAGGCTGCCGCGGCCGCAGTTGAGAGCTTTAATGAAAGCGATCGAGTTGATGACAATTCTCTACTACCCTCGTTGTTTTACCCGCCAAAGCAGCATTGGATAGCAGTGGAGGATGACATTGAATGCTCGAGCAGAGCGGTCGTCATTCGAAGAGGAGAAGTCACATTAGCAGACTGCAAGTACCTGGCTTGGTCCGGTCATTACTCTATCCTCAAATGGGTTCAACAGGAAGCCTTAGATCGGCTGCCACTATCACAGAAAGGGATGTGTTACGTATATAATCAATATGAATGTCATGCACGACGACGACGACAGCAGCAGAAGGAGGAGGAAGGGGTGGGGGAGTTATACTTCCTACCGACGGTCATGGAGGCTTTCCCTCCATCTCCGGAAAGTTCAGGGAAAGATGGTATGAAAGCATCACGAGTGGCGTTATCGTCAGTTGCCTTTGCGCGGTATGTTATCCGTATCATCATTTTTTCCCTCATTGTGTTGGCCATTGCAAAGATATTCTTTGCTGTGCGCAACCGCCGACATCAATATTATCATTGTTGTCCACATTCGGGTGTTGGTCGTAGTAGTAGTAGAAGTCGATCGGATTCATTTACTCGGCCGAATCGTCGAGTTCCACAGTCGAGTTCGAGGAGATTTGCTTTAGTACGAAAACTAATGTGCAAACTGTTCCGTGACTATCACCCCGTCACCACAGGTTTTGCTGTCTAAATCGTCATCATCATCACGACCAACACCCTATATATTTCATAACTACCTTAAACCGCTTGTATACCTCCTTACGAGTGTTATAGCATTATCTTATTACTACAACTACTGCTTTCCAGCTCGAAATAAACACTCTTGTGTTAGACTTCTTCTTGTTGTTGCTGTTGTTGTTGTTGTTGTTGTCGTTGTCGTTGTTGTTGTTGTTGTTGTTGTTGTTGTTGTTATTGTTGTTGTTGTTGTTGTTGTTGTTGTTGTTGTTGTTGTGGTCGTCATTATTCTTCTCTCACTATATATTATCTTTTTATTAGTGTCATCAATTGTTCATCCTACTCCAGCACTACGGTGCTTGGAATTCATTATTATCATTTACCTGATAATGAATAACAATACAATCACATGTCGTCATCGCCGATGTCATCTATTACTGCTTCCTATACTACTCCTCCTCCTCACCACCGACCTCTCCCGGACCTATTCCGTATCTGCTACTGAGGTCCTGCCGATACCTGCCTCGCCCAGTCGGTCATCTGTGTCACCAATAGTGTCACCAGCCAACGTTGGTCGACCAAGGCAAATCGACGATGAGGGCTCTCAGGTGAGATTGATGATAATAAGGGGAAAATAAATGAGATATTTCCCAGCTCGTATTGCCCAACCTTGAGCCCACCTACCCACCTGATGAGCACTTCGATTGGGATTTGGTGATAGTAATACCAACACACATTACGGAGTTCTCGAGAAGATGTGCAGTGCGAGACAGTTGGGCTCGACAGCTGAGAGGACATCAACAGGTAAATCGTCGTTATAGTGGTTTGATGGGATTTTATCTGTTTAACGTAAAGTGATGTAAATTATAAGATGTTTACTTCTCCGCGATCGATAATACAAATATAGGTGATTTTTTCATATGACGGGTGCAATATTATGGCATTTTGTAGGGAAATAAATATGGTCGCAGAAGTGTGAAGTTGGTTTTCATCGTTGGTGCCCACGCCCCGGACGACCGTACTCGAACAATGGCTGAGGCTGAAGAGAGACAGTTTGGTATGCTAGAATGGTAAACTAGTAAGATTCAGAGTTTTCTATTCAGGTGATATACACGTCCTACCTTCTGAGTTCGTCGATGAGTACCGCTCCCTGGCAACAAAGACGAGGTTGTCAATGAGAGACGCGGTCCATAACATAGGAAAGTAAAAGGAAAAAAATTTAGTAAATTTTCGGGAATTTTTGTTATTCAGGTTCCGACTGCTTCTCAAAACGGATACAGACAGTTATGTCCATCTCGAAAGGTGAGTCGTAGAAGGGGGAGAATATGCACATGATTATTATACGGAAATTTTGGGGAAATTTTGGGGAAATTTTGAGGAAATTTTGAGGAAATTTTTGGGGACATTTTGAGGAAATTTTGGGAAAATTTTGTTCGGATATGTACATTTCCACCCGAATTCGTATATAAACTTGTATAATTAGCTTTGGAATCTCCTGAGCTCAGCAGCTGAGGAAAGCGAACATATATTTCTACTCCAACACTGTATAGGAAACTCTTCTGAGCTCAGCAGCTGAGGAAAGCGAACATATATTCATACTCCAACACTGTATAGGAAACTCTCCTGAGCTCAGCAGCTGAGGAAAGCGAACATATATTGATACTCCAACACTGTTGATATCAGGTTGCTAAACTTCATCGAGAAGGAGAAAATGTGGGATGACCGACGAGTTTATGCTGGGGCCTTCCGGACAGATGTGGTGGAGTGGCGGGCTGAGGAAAAAGGTTCCAAATGGTAAAACTTGGAAACATTTAGAGGTGATTTCTGCATCACTACTTTAAGAGTATTGTTGAGTCCATTTTTCGAAAAAAAATGGAAAAACTTTTCCTATTGTATTTGCAAAACTGTTGAAATTTGTACTATTGGAAGAGAACTCTGGGGCGTGTGTTTAGAATATCCGAGCATATCATCTCGGGAATATCATCCTACGTGATTTCCCATTAAGGGGGTTCTTAACACGGTTGTTGGCCTGTGCTCAGGTGGGATGGCGATTTCAAGAAAATGACAGGTCTCGAACACTACCCCTACAATGCCAAAGGTAATAGTAGTAGTAGCTACTACACGAGTAGTAATAGTAGTCGTCTGGTGTTCAGGTGCTGGGTATATAGTGTCCTATGACCTTGCTAAATATCTAGCCGATCCTCCCATTCCACTACGACGTTGGACACATGAGGATGTTGGTGTTGGGTCATGGCTTATGGCTGTTGAGTAAGTAGTGGCTACTACTCCTACTACTACTACTACAGTTATTCTCTTCTTCACCATCAGTCATCGTCGTGTGTCGATGCCGGTATCATTCATGACGCCAGAGTGTGGCTGTGGAGCCACATGCGATGAGGATACGTTCTATCAGGATGAGGGTGATGATATCTTACGAAGAGAGTAGGCTATTGCTTGGGGTATTAGGTGGATTGAAAGTGATAGAAAAATAAAGTTTGGGGAGTTCGTCCAGGGGAAATGCCACATTATCAAAAATAGGCAGTATTGGAATAGTTAGCTGATATTGAATACCATAAATCTTTCATATCGCGCAGAGATGAGACCTGTCTATGGAAATGGTTAATAGTGGTAGTTGGGATTTAATTTTCTAGGGTTTCACTGTCACTTGGTGGTTGCCAAATTTTACTGCCTTTTATTATTACCTCGTACCACACCAATCCCAACGTCTCTCTCTTCGCATGGTATATCCCCATACACAACTCGTCCCTTCAGGCCAGTAGTCATTGACCATTACGTTCCCGAGTATCTTCAGCGGTGGCGGCAGCGTCGATATGAACTCATTGGAGATGCTTGTTGGACTTCTGAAAATGATGGACTTCTTCCCCACGACGTTTTCGAGGTCGAAGATTCGCATTACCCCGCCTTTACAACAGGGATGATGGGCTATACGTAGTGATGGTTCTATCGGTTAGTCCTCTGATATTCGTTCCTTGTCAGTTACCGTTTCCACCCGCTAGGGGCATATGGCCATCCGATTTTACCAGATCACACAGACACTCGTTCGGGCGTATGTCAGTTCGGTTTCCATTGGCAGTGGAGTGCGGATGACTCTGATGATAACTCTAGTGAGCCTCCTAGTCCGTCACCGTCGGGGAGTGGGAGGCTGAGGGCTGGCAGTCGTCACCAAGGTGATGACGACTCCAGTAACAATCGAAAACATAGGTAGGCTCGGGTCACTGTAGAGAAGTCATCATCAACTCGAAGAAAATTTGTGGAAATTCTTATTGATTTTGGTACATTCCTATACGAATTCGTCAGTAAACTTACGAGGTGGATTTGGGTGTATGTGGATGAATATTGTCATTTTCAACTGCATGGCGATAGATTTCCATGAAAATTTCAGAATGATGAATAATTTCATTCGAAATTTGCTGAGAATTTTAATATGAAATTGTCAGCAAATTTCGTACACATCTTCCTGGTTGAGTACATTTGTATGTAAAGTAAACTGTTTTGATGGTTTTAGATTTGTGGTGTGTCGGGGTGATGATGGTAACGACTATGATGAGTTCGAATGCGCGGCCTCGTCCATTCCAGCAGACAATCGTCCGGCGGGGGTAGAAGCTCCTCTACAGCTCCAAAAGGATTGGAGACCAGTGTCACCACGAGGGGTGGTGTCGAATCTCGCACTCTGCACGAAGGTCCTCGGCAGTCGCGATCTCATCACATTGCCTGAATGTGAAGAGCTTGGGCGATTTTACGCAGATGAGATGGAGACGGCCGAGGAGGAGGAGAAGGTTGAAGACTCTAGAATGCTCTCGAGCTCTACGGAGGGCGATGGTGGTGGCACTGCTACTACAGTTGAGGGTGTACTAATTGGCTGGTCGTCACCTACTATGCAGGGTACTCTGGGTATGTGTACAGTTTACAACTCTTCACGAGATTGTGATAATCACAACGATGATGAGAGATATGTATCATCGGCCTCCTATGTGAATGATGTGGAATTGTATCGCCTTTTGAGCGACCATTTGAAGCCAGTGAAATCGCCATGGATGATCTCTCGGAAAAAGAAGGATGAATCGGCCCGATCGTCCCCTTCTAGAGCGATTCGTAGTGGCGGGCATGAGCTCGATGTGACCTACAATTGGGGTATGCGTTCTCTCCTTAGTTTTCCTCTTATTGCTATTATGATAATATTTTCTCTCGGTGGTATATTTCTCTTTAAACGATGGCACAGAGGTCCATATAGAATTTCTCGAGAACGGCAAGAGTAAATCGCAACCGTCCAGGGTTGTGGGTATCTGCCCATCTTGGTTTCGCTTCCCGAAATTTGCCACCCCCGATTTAGTCTGTATACTATATTACATCACTCCACCCGTTGCGTATGGACATCTGTAAACTACTATTACTACTACTATGCGAATGCCAATTTTACGGTCCTTTCGTGAAGTTGTTGCCGCCACAGTGATTGCTGATGATAGTTCTTCGCTTGAATGCGAGTTCCTTATCATCATCATCATCGTTATTGTCATCATCGTATCATTGTACTAGTAGTAGTAGCCTAATTCCTAAGATACTATCATACCACTCAGCGGGGTATGCTGCTGTGTCTCTCACACGAGGGTGGTAGTGGTGGTGGTGAGAACTAAAACTACTATTTCGCCTTCCTCCTCCTCCTCTTCCATTTACCACCTCGAACTGTTCGACAATGTTGGTCAGTAAAGAGGAAACCCTTTTGCCAGGAATGGCGTCAGCTGTTTTTAATGGATTTGCGTTGAGTACTGGGGTTGGTTTTGTGATGGTAGTAGTAGGGGTTTACCCGTGCTCATTATGCATGATGAAGATCAGGAGTTGATGAATGAGTGGGATTTGGTAATAGTAATACCGAGTCATATTACAGAGTTCTCGAGGAGATGTGCAGTTAGAGATGGATGGGCACGTCAATTGAGGGGTCATGAACAGGTAGTAGTAGTAGTAGTAGTAGTAGTAGTAGTAGTAGTAGTAGCAGTAGTAGTAGTAGTAGTAGTAGTAGTAGTAGTAGTAGTAGTAGTAGTAGTAGTAGTAGTAGTAGTAGTAGTAGTAGTAGTAGTAGTAGTAGTAGTAGCAGTAGTAGTAGTAGTAGTAGTAGTAGTAGTAGTAGTAGTAGTAGTAGTAATTGTATATTATTAATATTAGAATAACCGTGGTGGTCTACGAAGTATTAAATTACTATTTACTGTTGGAGCACATTATCCTGATAATTATACTAGGGATACAGCGATGGCCGAAATGAAGCAATTCGGTAATAATAACCATCAACAACAACCACCAGCATACCACTCCTCTGCCAAATCATCTCAGATGATATCATCACTCTCCCTGACGACTTCAAAGACTATTATCGTAACCTCGCGACGAAGACTCGCCTTTCCATCCACGAGGTCGTCCACCGTACTAAATCGTACTACTTGTACTCTTCCTAACCAACCATCATCTTTATGTTTATTGACAGTTTCAAGCTCCTGTTGAAAGTTGACACGGACTCGTATGTTCACGTGGACCGTTTGCTCGACTTCATGGATTCTCACAAGATGTGGGAAAAGAACATTTCTGTCTATGCAGGGGCGTTCGAAACTTCAAATGTGGTATGGAACCCTCGTGATAAGGATGATAAATGGTAAATATGTAAACTCTCTCGTTACGTGATGTTACTCGATAAGAAAGGTACGACGGTGAATTCGCTGATCTCACTGGAATGGAGAAATACCCTTGGCACGCCAAAGGTAGTGGCCGTAGTAATACTGCTCGGTAAGTATCCTCATATTAGGTGCGGGCTATGTGCTGTCATATAAGTTGGCAAAATATCTATCCGATCCACCAGTACCCCTACGATCCTGGGTGCATGAGGATGTTGGTATTGGTGCATGGCTCATGCCTGTCTCATGGGACCGTATTGACATGCCGGTCCGTTTTATGGAGCCCCAGTGTGACTGCGCTACTCTATGTACGGGTACGATGTTCCATCGCAACGAGGACGACCCGGAAGAGTAAGGAATGAGTGGGAGCGAAATGATTTGTTCTCTGTTTTAGGAAAGTTGTTATTGACCATTATATACCAGAATATCTTCATCGATGGCGACAGAGGCGATTTGAGCTCTTCGGTGATGAGTGTTGGATCCCACGGCCGACTGATGTGAGTCACCTGAAGGATTCCATTCTTAGACTTAGACAGTAGAGTGCGTCAGGTTGAATCAGCTCTAGTGGACATTGAGCCCTCAGCTGTGGAAACGGCTGATTACATACCACCTGTTGCGATGGGCTACTATGAGACTAAGTAAATATCTGCAACCTTTGCATGTGGTCAGTATGAACCTAAGGTATCACTTTGAACCGCTGAGATCTAGAGCGAAACCACCACTGATACCCTCTCACGCGGATACGCGTTCTGGAGTGTGTAAAATGGATTTCTCTTTTGAAGATATTCATGACGCTGGTTCCTTCAGTCTGCGGGCGATCAGAAGGTGAATTATAGTTTACTATAACATTCTAATTGTTATTATTTTCAGTCATCGAATCTGTCGAGGGAGTGATGGGAGTATTTATGATGATTTCGAGTGTGATCATCAATCCGGAGGGACGGAGCAGAGCAGTGTTGTGTCCGATCGGAAAGACCGATCGTCATCATCATCGTCATGCGACGCCGAAGCTCCTATTATAGTCGAGCGAACGCCGCTGAGTCTCCCCCAATGTCTTCAACTAGCATCGATTAACAACCAAGATAGTCGTGGCTGGGCGACTTGGGACGTACATTCACACGTGTGTAAAGTGTTACCGCCAAATGCCTGTCATTTACGACCGTCACTGCAGAAGGATGCCTCTTTGCGAGTGTTCGAGCATGTCAGTTCTACAGCGTCGTCACTCCATCTTGAACCTCGCCTTCATCAATATGGCCTCACTTCTAATTCGGTCATCGTCGGGTACCGGTATCATTTTATCTTGTTCTTTGTATTTATTATTCCTCTAGCCTTCTGGGTCCTCTTCAGAAACAAACGTTGTCTGCCTCTGGTGGGACGTCTGAGGCGTAACAGGAGACGTCGTCACAGCGGCGCTGGAAGCAGCACGTCTCCTGTTGAATAGAGATTACTAACATATCTCACGATTGCTACTATTATCTGTACAATAGCGGTGCTGTGATCAAGACTTTACTAGCATCTCCACGCGAACTGGTATCTTTAAAATAAGAGTGTTTTTGTTCATAGTGATAACGGTCAGAGATAGATGCTAAGTGACGATAAAGCTGAGAGTTGAATGAACAAGCATATGACTCTTGTGCTCATATCCCTAATGATATGAGGGAGGGCATCTTTTTATATATGGAGGAGGTATTTATCAACTTTCTCAAGAACACACATCGTTACGTACAGACCCCGATGGGGCCCTGGATCCGCGTATCTAGTTAATGCGTTTTGTATAGACTATGATTGATGATTCCGTGTATAATGAGGGAAATTATCAGTCCTTGTGCAAACACAAAGAAACTTATGTGTGGTGATTAGATGAAAGCGCCAGTTAGTCTCCCGTAGAGGTTACTCGGGGTAACAATCTTCGCGTGCCAGAAAGGTGTACAAAACAGCGGTGTCACGAGCAATCGTTAGATGAACAACCGGTTCGACCCTCGATTCGACTCAACACCACACGACAGTAGTGGTCAAACAGGACGTCCAATGGGACATATTTCGATTAGATGGCCTCCGAGTTCTCTCTGAAGGATAGGGATGTACCGAAACTATGTCATCACACCTACTCGTTGATGATTAGTGTCGGCACATGAGAGATGTTTGCATTGAACGCATAGTCGCCCATTATGCTGCTTCAGATGGTCCAATACGTTTTGACTTTCCTGCCACCAACCGTGGCCCTTACGTTTGTAACTGAGTGTCTCTCGAATCCAGAAGCGACAAGGAGGGGTTGATTACGTCTCGACGCGACGCTGTAACTTCTCTTTCACTTGATAGACCCATTTGAAGTGATGTGATCGTAAGAGCACTGGGTAGACGCACGCAAGAGACTCGTTCTTCACTCTACCGCCACCTCGATTCGATCTGAGATATGCTCGAAAGGCCAACACTTTCTGGGGAACCTGGGATCGCCTTGAGAGTCGTAATGCATTCAGTGTTCGTTACATCGATACCCACAACTGCCTTAGTTACAGCACAAGCCAGCGGGAACTGCTCAAATATCGAAGGAGTGGCCTTGAAGGGGAGAAGCATCCCGAGGGGAGTTTCTAGTCGTAAACGTACAGCAACAGATGAAAGGCTGCCGTCTCGCGTGACCCTGTCAACGTAATGACCATACACAGCGTTGTAACCTTCGTCCTCAACAACTCGCCTGAAATCGTTCATCAACCTTTCTTGTCATTGCCACCTACAAAAAGGCCTGGATATTCCCGCCGGGGATCTGATGTAGCTGATCGGAATCAGCGTGGACGATCCAGTCCTCCGCCTCTCTCAGCCGTTCGGTGTGCTTCATCATCTTATTTCGTCGCCTCTCCATTACTTCACTCGAGTATTCGCCAATCCACTCTTCAATGTTCATGATAGATGCATATCTAACGCTGGGCATGAGCAGGGATACCTTCACTGACTTTACTGCTTAATCAAGTCCCTGAACATCCCTAATTCTGTCGAGTCCGGTGTTCGCGAATGCAGAATGATGAGCATGTGAGTGAGTGGTATGCCTAGGTCAATATAGTGCTGTAGGAAGTGTGGAGCAATGGATTGATCGTCCTTGGTGCCTGAGGTAGTTCTCTTTCGGAAGCAACAATCCGGTCGCGATGCTGCATACTGAACACTGTTTGCAGCCACACTCGGCCATGATCGGCAGCGGGGAGAACGATGGATGGAGTTTCTCGTATCGCGGCCCTGCCCTTCTGTAGCGATTCGACTCCCGTGTCGTACAGGGTAATGGCGAGCAGTACAATTAAGGCCTAAATAGCATTCCCTTCGTTCAGCGATTGGATATACTCACCAAGAGGCCGAACACTATGAGGAAGGTCTTCCGAGGTGATGGAATCATATCCGGGAAGCCTCCTATTGATGGTATCATAGGAGCACTATGCAACTATCCCCCTTTAACCCCCACTTAACGCGAGATTGAACGTATAAGCAAATGCCGAGTACACCACACTATGCGGCTGTATGGATGCTTGCAAATATGAGAGTGAAACATGGAGTGATACCATTATGAACGATTCTCTTTCTGTTGATGTATAGCATTAGATCAGGAGCGGAGTTATAGATATACTCCCCGAGTAAAAGTCGGTATTTTGAGGCGCGATTTTAACACGTGTATGCTAAGAATATGTGGAGAAAACGTTTTATCGGTCTTCGACTTCTCACTAACTACGAAGAGTTAGACCCTGAAACTTGGAGGTCATATCAGGTAAAGCATAAGTACATACCTCCCTGAGCCGCAAGATGATACTCGTTGTGGTGGCTGTACACGAGTCGAAAACCCGGGTATGCTAAGAATATGTGGAGGGATGTATTCATATGTTGATGAGACCAGTTTTCACGGTTGGGGCAGCTATGCCATGCAGAAATATTCTATAATACAATACTTTTCCCTATTAGTGAGATAAGCTTCTCCAGGCCGCCCCATCCATAGAGATTGCTTTCCCTTTCCCCTGACAGGGAAAGTTCCCCATGCGCCTGCGCAACAGGTTATGCTTCGGATGGCATAGCTGCCCCACTCGCTCCACTCAGAATACCCCCTACTACTACCCCCTTGAGGAGCATCCCCTAGTATCGAGGCGTCATCGCCGTCAACCCCATCATCATCATCATCGCCTGAGAACAGTGTTCATGACAACGCAATAAACACGATATATAAATAGTAAAGCAGGGCAGAGGAAACAGCACACTCACGTCCATGGTAAAAAATTACAAAACATTACGGGTCCAACAAAGAAGTACACACAATGGAACAGCAAGTATACAGCGAATAAAATGTTACTCATTCGACCTTTCTCCCCAATACTGAATGCTGAGTAGAGCTTGCCCAGTTGCCAGTAATAGAGAGGACAACCTGTCAGCAGTCTCGTGATGACTTGAACATTGGCACAAAGCAGAGTGAATACTGTGAGGATCAACAGCTGAAAGACGAAGGGAGAACGTTCATAATCATTGGCAGCAGTAACAAGCCCACTGAACCACGCCTTGGGTGACGTTAGTGCTTTGGTTAACGGCGGACAGTAAGTACGAAGACCCTGAACGACTGCTATGACAGCGATAGACATTGAAGGAATCGCCAACAAGAAATTGGGGATGTTGTTCGGCGTATAATAGTCCAACAAGCCAACGTGCCAGTACTCCTTCTGTATAAAGCTGTATATGTTACCTCGACCTTCACACCACGGTCGACTGTCCAGACTGTCGCTGCAATAGAGCGACCGCGCATAGTTCAGATAGAGCCCCATTGGAAGCAGCACCAGAAGGGCCAAGGGAATAGTCATGAATAGACATCTGCCATAAATGCCATAGGATATCAGAAAGGGAGCATTTAGTGTGCCGTTTGAACGGACTGAAGTTGCTGTCGACAGCAGTACGGCCGACGTCAACAGTAACGCTGCTTGACGGAACGCATTCAAGTGACTACCTTCGTATAGCAGTAGCAGGCCACCAAACGTGAGCATAGAGTAGAAGGACTCAGTGTATACCGCTGACATGAATATGTTACTCATAGGCATTGCGAAGATGAGCGCTCCATAATAGGCGATCATGGCCGCATGCTTACCCTTCAATACGGCCAAGCCTAACCAGTATAGAAAGACCGAGGCCACTATGAATGATATATTCGTAATGAGTACACCACAAAGCAGTAGGCGATCTGTCCGGTTGAAAGGGAACATAGTCGATGGTAGAATCCTCTCTAGAGCGTTGATGGCGATTGACAGACCCGGGAAGAAAGCATGAGTATGCTCATATTCGTAATCCTGGATCTGAGCAGTACGGATGAAATATACACCGTCCCAATAGGCTAATGGGCTCAACCAGCGGCCTAGTTCATCCTGAGCGGCTGGGTAGATATTTGCTGAGGTATCATAAGGATGCATGAAGTGAGCAGAGAGCAGGCCAACGACGAGACAGAGGACTCGTGAGATCACCGCTACCAGAACGATTCTCAACGTATTGTTGATGCTCATAGTGATACCGGGTCGATACTAAATGAAACAATACAACTGGCTCGTTAGGCAACACAAAATATAGCGGGGCAACTGAAAATTTATCATGTTCAAGTTCAACAAGGAAGTAAGTTCACTGTTGATTGCCATTCAAGTTCGGGAACGAATCTACTGCGCTCAATTGGAAGAAGAAGAACTTCAATCGACCTCTTGAGTTTTTCCAGCAATAATTGTAGATCTCAGATCAGATTCTGAGACGGATTCGTGCTCGTGAACTGATGCTTCCAGAACCATTTCTGGGCTTACCTAGTGAGTTCAGCGAAGGTACTTGAATCGCAGCAAGCTTTAATACGCCTTGCTAATAACCCTATCGAATACCCCTAGACATGCTGGCCGACTCATTACCTCCATTATTACACTGATGTCAAGTGCCAGCATGGCGAGGGAGGCATCTCAGTGAAGTAGGAGATGGTTCTGATTAGGACGGTGAGCAGATAGAATTGGCAACTCACTAGCATACCATTTCAAAATGCACTGGACACATACTAATACTACCGCCAGGCCCCCGTGCCTGACGATAATGATGATAAAAGGTGACTTGGTAGCAGATCTACCGTAGAGCTCTACCTCTCCTAAACAACCCACGTGACGCTCTAAGAATGCCGGTGGCCTGAACGGTAGCAATATGTTGCCTAAACGGTAGCAATATGTGGCCTGAACGGTAGCAATATGTGGCCTGAACGGTAGCAATATGTTGCCTAAACGGTAGCAATATGTGGCCTGAACGGTAGCAATATGTGGCCTGAACGGTAGCAATATGTTGCCTAAACGGTAGCAATATGTGGCCTGAACGGTAGCAATATGTGGCCTGAACGGTAGCAATATGTTGCCTAAACGGTAGCAATATGTGGCCTGAACGGTAGCAATATGTTGCCTAAACGGTAGCAATATGTGGCCTGAACGGTAGCAATATGTTGCCTAAACGGTAGCAATATGTGGCCTGAACGGTAGCAATATGTGGCCTGAACGGTAGCAATATGTGGCCTGAACGGTAGCAATATGTGGCCTGAACGGTAACAAACGGATATAAGTTTATATTTCAAGGAGAATCGCGGGCATACAGCCCGCTTTGACTACCACCGGGATAGTGCTGTCGTAACCCGGAGTGAAAGGGCCGGATCAAATGCACTTTTCTAAGAAGAAAGTTAGTTTCACGGGGAACCAGGTTTCACCAACTCGCCAAGCTTGGTGATTTCGGGTCCTAATAATACTCCTAAGCATATTTCAGTCACATCCCCTTCTCACGCTGTTAAATATCCCACTCCTGGTCGCGTGGGGCCCTAGAAGTATCGATGAGGGAAAGACACAGAGTCTGAGTGACCCTCAGTGAGTGTGCCGACGACAGTGCGTGTCTGCACCCTCTTCGGTACTTGCTCCCGGGAGTGGTGGGATTGGGATAAAATACAGAAGGTCCTTCAGCCCGTGACCATGTTATGACATAAGGAAAGCGGGGAGGATCCGCTCGCCTCACCGTTACATCTCTGCAGTGCGAATTGGTAGCGGAGCGACGCGACCATCCGCATCGATACTACTCGCGTCAAATCCTTGTTAGAGTAATGTAGTATATTATATTCAACAATCAACAGTGTTGATTGTTGGAGTAGTTATCATGTGGTAATATGGTGTAGTGGTTAGTAGTATTGGTGTAGGGATTAGATGGTTGTGGGCTCCATTCTTGGTTAGGATAATTAGAGCCGACGATTTTACTCAGGACTTCACCCGAACGCACGTGTGCATGTAAGGCACACGTACTCACGGCACACATGCTGGCGTACTTTGTGACTTGACTCATGTGTCATCATGAAACGGTCAGAGTCGTTCAAGGTGAAGTCTCTAGAAAGGATTGGTAAAGTTATCTTAGATGACTTAACTTCAGCGATGTAGCTGCAGCTTGTCAAGGGCTTTCGCTTGGTTCCATTAAGTCTAATAGGCCGACAGAGTGTGTGTTGATACCACGGACAGTGATGGATAAACGGTTTTCCGTAAAGGTACGATAATGAAGAAGTTGTTGAATATGGTATTGATGACAGTACTGCTGTCACAGAAGTCCATCCCCTTGTGATGATGATACGAGTGAAGCCTCTGATATTCATCTCTGTCACTACCTCGTTGCGTGGCAATGGAGAGCAATTGTCATTATCATAATAGTCAAAATATACAATGAATATATAAAAAAAGCTGTGAAAAAAATATGAAAAAAGTGTGATTACTCGGAGAGTTAGAGGTGATACGGACAGCTTTCTATTAGAAGCTTTCTACTTGACAAGAGGCTGACAGACTTCACAAAACTTATTAGAGGGTCGGTAGTTTCGAACTAATTTCGTCGTTAATGTTAACAACTGCGGAAAATCCTAAGCACGAAGGAAACTCCTCAGAGGAAAATTTTCAGCCAGACGAAACTGAACTAGTAATAACTGTTCTGGTTTCCCTGATTCGACGATCTGAGAAATACTCAGATGCAATCTGAAACCGAGTTCGAAGTGAACACTGAGAAGTTTGATGAGGAGAACGACCAAGTAAGAATGTGATGTACTCCACTGGAGTTCCTTCCTAGTGATATGAAAAATATATTTCACGACTGCTGCATATCACCGCGAGCATTACGCCACTCTACGTAAAACGGGTGAAATTTTGATGAAGTACTCCAATGCAAAAATGCAACGAAAACTCAATACTTTATGACATACTGCAAGTGTATTATTCTTAGGATGCAACCGAGAGAAGTCAAGACGAGATGAATAAGGTGAGCGGTGATATTCATTGTGTTGAGAATTTCAACTTGGAAGCAAACATAGAATTTCTCGAAATATTTCATGCTGACCTCAGTAGTTTTCCATCAGTATATTATGATTATCATTCACCTACTACTTAAAAGTGTTTCAAAAATCGAAAAACATGATTTTAGCAGATTTTTTCCCCTCGTTACACGTGTAGTTGCAGACTGGGACCCATTTGGTTTCGAGAGAAGACGTTCTCCTGGGTTTGATAATAATGAGAAAAATGTTCCTAATGTGATGACAGCCATGTGGAAATTTCACAAAGATCCCCCTTCCGGAAACACTATAGTTTCTTGTATGGTTGAGACGATTCGCAACGGAATTATACAAAATTGGAGTTCACCACGTTTGAAAAACACTAGGAAAAAATATATTTCACTACTACTGCATATCACCGCGAATATCGGCGTTTTTACATGGAGTATTACTACCTGGCGCAAAAAACGGGTTGTGAAACTCCTTTACTTCGCATGAAATATTCGATTGATGATGAGATGAACCGCATTCTCTTTGTGCATGCAGGAAGCGGCTGACCAAGAAGAAGGTGAAGAGTTGCATGATAACTCGTCCGTACATCTCCAAGAGGTGAGCAGTATCACTCGTGACAATAACACGCACCTACAGTGCGTGCAAATGTGTGTTATTTTCTGTGATTAATAACAATCGATCGAAGACTATATCGCATAGACAGTATGAATATTGCTATGAACAATCGATAGCGACAAGTTGCTCACTATCATTAATCCCGGAAAAGAAAAATGCAAATTCTTCATATTTGCATATCAAATTGGCACACACTCGAGCTTCACCCGTTTTACATGAAGTGGAGTAATACTCTGCGAAAAACGCTATGCAGTAGTAGTGGAATGTATCTTCAGACTAGTGTTTCCCGTATCACCGGTGAAACTCCACTGTACTTCACAGTGGAATTTCACAACAACCCGTTTTACGTGAAGTGGCGTCGTAAAACTCGGTGAAAAACTAGGCGATATTCGCGGCCTGTAGTAGTCGTGAAATATGTTTTTCACCAGTGTGTTTTTCATATCACTAGGGTGGTGAAACTCCAGTGTGTGATTGCCGAGCACGCGGAGGCTAGACGTATGCACTCCAACACTAACTTCTACTACTCTCAGTGAGCAACTCTGAGGCAAACATCAGACCATACTCATAGCAACGCCACTACTAGCGGTGTATGCTCATCTTCCTGAGCTTCACAGTGCGAATTGAATGTGCATTTCAAGTGGGAGAAGCTACAGAGCTTGACAAGAAATCTCAGGAGGGAAAATTGAGCGGAAAAATTGAGTGTAAAAGAGTTTCACAACCCGTTTTATGTGAAGTTACCCAATATTTGCGGTGATATGCAGTAGTCGTGACATATATACTTTTCACATCACGGCCTGTGAAACTCCGTGGTTGGTTTTCACCAGTGTGGAAGAAATTATGCGCATAATCGACTGAAATGGAAAAAATTGGGGAAATTCCTGGAATTTCTTGTTGGTTCTTGTACACTTGTGGCAGAATTCGTGGTTGAACTTTGAAATTTGTAAGGAAACTTCTGAGGACAGAGTTGGAATATATGTTCGCTTTCCTCAGCTGAGCTCAAGAGCTTCTTCACCAATGATATTAGTTTTCATACGAATCAGTGGAGAATTTCCAGAATCTCCCCAGAGTTTTCATATTGTCAACACCGACATGTGTAGTTGATCATGTGCATATCCCCCCACACTTGCTGAGGAGAGCAAGCATATATCGCTTCGGTGTGAAATTCGCTGTTTTAGATGGGGAAAAATGAACAACAACTTCGTGAACTTATGGAGCTCACAGAACAGAAAAATCACTTGGAAGAAATGCTAAAACAAGCACAGGAAAGGAAAGCACTTTTTATGAAGTAGAGTAGAGTGCGGTGGTTACTTCTCCGTCAGTTCGTGAAAATTTTGGGAAAATTCCTGGTGATTCCCGAACACTCTTGCCCGAATTCTATTAATGGAGTTTCACAACGCGTTTTACGTGAAACTCGGTGAAAAACGAGGCGATATTTGGGTGATATGCAGTAGTCGTGAAATATATTTTCCACTAGCGTTTTTCATATCACTAGGGTGGTGAAACTCCAATGTGTGAACTCGTATATACAATTAAAGCGATTATATATTTCAGCATTCAATGGAGATATGAAAAACATACTTCACCGCGAATATCGAGTTTTTCACATGGAGTATTACGCCACTTCACGTAAAACGGGTTGTTGTGAAACTCCAATATACTCCATATATTCATCTTCAGACTTATTTTCTTATTTGTTTTCATATATGAAGTTTCACAACC